GTCATAGTTGCACATCCTTCTAGTTGCTGTATATGGGATGCGGCCTCAGCGTGGCCGGAGAAGTGGTGCGTCGGTGCGTGCCGGGATCCGAACCCGGGCCGCCGGTAGTGGAGTGCACGTACTTAACTGCTAAGCCACCAGGCCGGCCCAGGATAATGTTTTTAAGACTTTCTCTCTATCTCCCTTTCTCTCTCTCTCTCTTTTTTTTTTTTTGTGAGGAAGATCAGCCCTGAGCTAATATCCATGCTAATCCTCCTCTTTTTGCTGCGGAAGACCGACTCTGAGCTAACATCTATTGCCAGTCCTCCTTCTTTTTTTTTTTCCCCCAAGCCCCAGTAGATAGTTGTATGTCATAGTTGTACATCCTTCTAGTTGCTGTATGTGGGATGCGGCCTCAGCATGGCCAGACAAGCGGTGCGTCGGTGCACGCCTGGGATCCGAACCCGGGCCGCCAGTAGCGGAGCACGAGCACTCAACTGCTAAGCCACGGGCCCGGCCCTCTCTCTTTCTTTTTTTACTGTGTTTGCTAACAGAGACTCTTACCTTTGGCACCTTATAGAACAATTTCTTATCTTTAGCTGTATTCCTCCTCTTTCTTTTCTTACTCCCCTCTGTTCATCAGCATGCTATCCCTCCCATACTACAATGGGTGAACTGTTCTATTAATAAGTTACCTAGAAGTCTCCAGGAGTCCTAGAATCAACGCCAGGTACTTGAGAAGGATTCCCAGAGAGGAGCAGCACTGTAGATATATAGATCCTTTAGACCAGGGATCGTCAGACAAAACTTTTGTTGCAAAAGCCCAGGTAGTAAATCTTTTAGGTTTTGCGGACCAAGAGGCAAAAAGGAGGATATTATGAAGATATTTATATAACAAGAGAAAAGAAATTTTCACAGATTTTATTGATGAAATTAAAAATATAAAAATAATTCAGTTTTCTGTAATACAGATCTACTAATGAGAAGAATGAAGTTCTTTTTCTAGGGGGATGACATTTCACCTAAATTGTGTTCAGAGTTATAATTCCCCTCTCAAAATCTATTGCAAATGTTCTTCTAATCTGTTAATACTGATCTGTAATGAGATTTTACATATTTCATCTTTGAAAATGTTCTTTTACGCAGGTAGGTGCTGCCACATTCGTTGTCAGTCCACAAGTGTATGATTTCAGTTGACTGTATTCATCATTTGGAAAGCATTTATAGAATTCCATTAGATTCTTCTCCTGATATTTGCCTTTTAGTATGTCATTACATTGTAGACTAGTCATTTCCAATTGAAGGTTAAGTGAAAGCTCCTCAATTGCATAACTAAATGTGTTTTGAAATCGGAGAATTTCCTTCACACTTGCATTAACGTCTGGAAAACGCTGTTTAACTGCGTAGTTTGAGCTTAGAAAATATATCCACTGCAAATTTGTATGGGAATGGGGATCTCGTTTTTATTTTAACTTCTGCCAGCACAGGAAGTGCATGAAGCCGCTTGAATTTATGAATCAAAGTTAGTGTTGAAATGACCTTACTATAGTGTAAGGTTCACAAATCAGCGCTATTTTGCCATATAATTTTAGGTCGAATTCATTAAGAAACATCAAGAGTTCAGCAAAGGCAAATTTCCAGAGCTACTCAGTGTTTTTAGCAGTGGTTGAGAGCTGTTCTTCTCATTCGAGAAATTTCAGTCTTGGCCCTGAGCTCAAAAAGTCGCAAAAAAAACTTAACCCTTGACAAGCCATTAAGCTGCTGTGTGATAGGACAAGTCAGGAACTAATGATGGTTAAGTCCATACACTGTTGACATGACTGGTTCAATAACACATAAGGGTTAAAAATATCTCCCAAAGTACCTGCTGAGGAAAATAGAAAGAATAACCATAAGCTTTAAACGTGTTACGTTTTCACAAGTTTTATAAATTTGTCCAATTAAGCCTTTTTTGCTCTGCACATAATTTTATCATCAGTTGTAGCACTTCATAGCAGATTCTACTGCATGTTGTAGCAATTTGGTCTTTTCTCAACTTCTCTGAAAGCATTCTGCCTGTAGTTGTTTCATGTGGACTATTCAGAGAGGCTAATTGTTCATCACTTCCAACTGCTCAAATAAACAACTGAGCTGTATCAGTCATATCTGTGAACTCATCAAGAGTCAAGGAAAACCATCATTGGCTTCCTTGCTTGGGTAAAAAGCCATTTGGAAAC